AAGTAAAGATCCTCTCTTAAAAGAATGATGGGGAGAGCAGAAAGTTAGTAATGTTTTATTTGGAAAAATAAAATTTGGCCGTGATCTCCCAATCCACTAATTTTATTTTTTTATTTTACTGAGCCGGGCCTGGGTAAAAAAAGGTGAAGTGATTCAAAAATATCAATCAGTAGTTACAAAGTAGTCAGTAATATTGTAATGACCATGTATGGTGCCAGGTGGGTATTAGACTTATGGGGGGGCGGGGTTCTTCATAAATTATATAAATGTCTAACACTGAATGTCAACTGTAATTGAAAATAAAAATTTAAAAAATTTACTAATCCAGCATAAAATCTAAATGCGTGGGAAGTACTGTCCCACAGAAGTATGAAAGTAGCTGCTCATATGTAAAGAGTAATCACAATTTAGCAAGAGTTACACAGACCACAGAATTAGGCTACCTTGAAAAAGCAAATGATGAAAACAGAATATATAGCCTGAAAGTTGAATGTGAGCCTAAATACCTAGAAGTTCTCCCATCAGTTAGATTTGCAGCAAATATCAGTAAGAATGGAATAATTCTAGTGAGATGGTGGATGTACAGAGCATACCAGTGTTAGCAAAAGAGCTAAATGCATATTCACATAGTATTGATGGTTGGATTTCAAAAGCAAAGACATTTAATGACGTTGAAGAAAATATGAAGCTTCCATAGCCACCAGGAAAACATACAGAAATTAATTTGATGGGATCTCAAACTTATCTTAAACCAACAACATTCTATTCTACTCACGTGGCTGTCTTGATTAAATTTCATAATGCAAAACCTCAACACATTAAGTAAAATTACATTTTCAGGTAATAGGAAGAAAAATGCTGCACTATGTTTTTCCTTATTAAGGCACGGCCATTAAGCATAAACCTTGAGTATTCACAACAGAAGTCAGGTTTACAAGATGAAAGCCTGGCAAGAAAAATGTGTTTCTGAAAAATAAAAATCTTAAGGAAAAACAAAAATGGCATTCTTTATCCATCTTGCTTAATGAAAGAGCCAGAGTTTCAATGCCTAATGTCACAAATGGTGTTACTTTTTGAAGCGATGTGGGTGCTGGCTTCTAGTAGTAACAAAATATACTCAAGATTGTTTTTACATCTGTATTTATAACTTTAAAAAACCAAGAAGGAGGTTGATGAATTTCTGTTAAAAGCCATTCCTGTTACATGTAATAAACTAGAAAGTATTTATTTATAGTGTTTATTTAATAAACCATCCATTGAAGTTTAAGTGAAATCAACAAAAAGGAAATATGGATTGATATGTGATTTAGAGATTAAAGTTAGTCCTAAAATGTAAATAAAATATGAAAAGTGTCCTAAATTCATTTAATCATGTACCCCAAAGGGTACCTGGTCCCCACACACAGCTGTCCTGTAGCCTTGTTGCAGTTCAGGAAGTTATCTACCCGTCTCCACATAAGCCATCTCATTCCATCCTGGAAATTCTATGTGGAGTCCTTCTCTCCTCTCCTTCAGCACACCCTGTGAGCCCTCTCCTCCTTAAAGCCCAGCTTGGTATTCACAGGCTCCATTAAAATAAAACAAAACAAAACAGCCCAGCCCAGCCGGGTGTAGCTCAGCAGTTGAGCGTCGACCCAGGAACCAGGAGGTCACCGGTTTGATTCCTGGTTGCGGGCTTGATTCCCCCAGGGGGCGTGCAGGAGGCAACCAATCAATGATTCTCTCTCATCATTGATGTTTCTATCTCTCTCTCTCCCTTTCCCTTCCTCTCTGAAATAAAAATATATTAAAAAAAAAAAAAAAGCAGCACAGCCAATGTGATTCAGTGATTGAGCACTGACCTTCGAACCAGGAGGTCATGGTTTGATTCCCAGTCAGGGCACATGGCCGGGTTTTGGGCTCAATCCCTAGTGTGGGGCATGCATGAGACAGCTAACCAATGATTCTTTCATCATTGATGTTTCTCTCTCTCTCCCTCTCCCTTCCTGAAGTCAATAAAAATATATTTAAAAAAACAAACAAGCCAAAAACCTACCTGGCTTGCAGATCCCCTCCTCTAATTCTGCATACCCACAGCATTCATGCACGCAGTAGGATGCAGCACTCAACAAACACTGAATGATTGGTACATGTATTCTCTCTTAGATTGGGTCAGAGATAATCTGGGATAACAAAGAATATAAATATTATTCATAACCTATTTTGGAAAAACTACAGTCAGTAATCCCATGATGTGAAATATAAATATTTCTGCAGAAACAAAGCCTCACTAGCAGAACTTAATTTTCACTCCAAACAAACCATTACCTGTGGTTAATGGACCGGAGCAGCTACACCACCACCACCCAGGAGCAGGACCAGCCTAAACATTTGGTCCGGAAATTCTATTCAACTGCAGAGCAAAGAGCACACACCACTGACTCACCTAATCTAATTAAACTTTCCCAAGACTGTGAATACTCTGTGTCACAAGCAAGGCCACTGAATTCCCAGCCAGAAGTCATTGCCTACCTGATTACTCGCATCTCTCCCTCAAGTTTTTGTTATTAGAGTACGTCTTGAAGGCCCGGTCTTTCCTCCCCCACACTCTGCCCTCCACACCTGTAGGTTTAGTTGTTTTGGATTATTTCATGTCCTCCTCTTTGATGCATCTGGTGTGAACTTTTCCTTCTCACGCTGGGTGAGGACAGAGCAGTAGCCAGAGGTACCACAGAGACAGGGCGGAAGTGTTTTAAGGCAGTTAGAAGTGAGAGGGTGTCTGTGGGCTTTGAGAATAAAAAGTTCCTGGAAAGGTGACATTTGAAGACCCAACCTTCCCCATCAAGGCCATTAAGAAGCTGTTATTGTCCTCGCTATCACAAGAGTATATATCACATATTCTCTTCAACTTACTACAGTGAGTTTTTCCCTTCTATCCTCAAAGCATTGATAATTTCACTTTTAAGATTGGAGTCTTTTTTAATGAAAGGAGTATCCTGAACTTCCAAAGGGAGTTTTTAAATTATAAGTCAAGTATTGTTGGGAAATATTTCCTCTAACTTCATTCCTTGAGGCATAATTATCCTTATATAAATTATACAGTGGTTAAGCATCAACCTATGAACCAGGAGGTCACAGTTCGATTCCTGGTCTGGGCACATGCCTGGGTTGTGGCTCCATCCCCAATGAGGGGTGTGCAGGAGGCAATCAATCAATGATTCTCTCTCATCATTGATGTTTCTCTCTCTCTCTCTTCCTTCTTCTCTGAAATCAATAAAAATATATTTTTAAATAAATAAATTATTAAATTATACAGCAGTGATTTGTTACTGAGGCGGAACTGGGCCTGGATCTGACCATGAGCAGTGCTATACAAGATCAAGCAGATGTGCAGCTGGGAACAACAGAGAAGGAGGACCGGCATTCCAGCATCCCCCAAAATACACTGTTCCCTGCCACTGAAGGGCTACATCCTGGACAGAACTGCGGGTCCTTAGAAAAGAAATAGAAACAAGGCCGGGACCAACCGAGACATCTCCTCCCTTTCACCAGCCTGGATTGTCTCTGATGTTCCTGGCACTGGACTAAAGGATTCGAGGAGAAAGGAGGGGGAGACTTTTTCTTCAGGAGCTTTCTTAGCTCAGCCTGTGTAACAAATTACCATGGACTGGAGGCTTAAACAACAAACATTGATTTCTCAGTTCTGGAGGCTGGGAAGTCCAAGATCAAGGTGCCTGCAGATCTGATGCCCGGTGAGGGCCCACTGTCTGGCTGGTAGATAGCTGTCTTCAAATCTTGCCCTCACCAGGCAGAGAGTAGAGAAGCAAGCTCTCTGGACTCTTACAAGGACATGAATTCCATTCATGAAGGCTCCACCCTCATGACCACCCCTAACCCTAACCACCTCCCCAAGGCCCCACCTCCTAATACCGTAACACTGGGGTGGGATAGAGTTTCCACATATGAATTTGGGGTGGAGGGGAGGACACAAGCATTGAGTCCATAACAGAAGCCCACAGTCAATGAGAAAGACACTTTAGATCAGTGGTTCTCAACCTTCCTAATGCTGCGACCCTTTAATACAGTTCCTCATGTTGTGGTGACCCCCGACCATAAAATTATTTTTGTTGCTACTTCATAACTGTAATTTTGCTACTGTTATGAATCGTAATGTAAATATCTGATATGCAGGATGTATTTTCATGGTTACAAATTGAACATAATTAAAGCATAGTGATTAATCACAAAAATATGTAATTATATATGTGTTTTCCGATGGTCTTAGGCGACCCCTGTGAAAGGGTCATTCGACCCCCCAAAGGGTCTCGACCCACAGGTTGAGAACCGCTGCTTTAGATACTAAAGGTTTTACAATCCATGAGATCAGTGCCACGGCAGCAACCTGCCAAGCACCCCAGGAGCAAAGATCAGGGAGAAATTAATTCTGCCTCGAGAAGGAACTCAAGTCCCAAGGAAGAAATTGCTACTTCAACTAGATATTGGAAAAAGAACAGGAATTGACTAAAAAGATAATGAGGAAAGAAGTTCTTTAAAAAAATGACCTTCTAAAAATCTCTCTAATTGCTTGTGGTGAATAGAACCAACCTACCAATTTTAATCAGCGCTAAGCTCGACTTTTAGTTACTATTGAGGTTTCTCCAAAAGTTATTTATTTTCAGCTTATTACCAATTCAGAGCATCTACAAAAGTGACCTACTGAATTTGCAGAGGTGGCAAAATTCTTACAACAGTAATAATAATAGGATGAAACTTAATGGCTTTACTGAATAGATTACCTTTATGGCCAACAGCCCACGTGCACTCTCCAAGCCCACGGAAGTCCCTGGGAAGCCTCATTTGCTGCCCCAAGCTTACATTTCATTACACACTTTTTAATTTTAATGTAAATTGGTAAAAATTCAAAAGCTATGCATCTACTTTTAAATTGAACCATTTTTAGTAAATCACTGAATACTTTCCATGAACAATAAGAGTTTTATGAGATGATCTGTTATTCTTACCTCCATGGGAAAAGCTTTGAAATTAACTGTGTGCTCAGAACCACGCTGGTTTTCTCTTCCCCAATGAAATCGAACCTCATACAGTTCGAATTCATGCCCTTGAGGCAATGGACCTCCCGAAAGAACTGAAAAAAATAAAATAGATTCTATTTAATTACATCTCAAACATATTCATCAGCACAGCAATAGAAACACTGGGGACATGTTTTGCCAAAATCTCGTGTGAGCTCTACAGATTCAATTCATATAGCCAAAATGAGAACTACATCACAACTGTGAATTTGCACTATGTGAGTTTTGCTGAAATTCTTATAATGCCATTCAGATAACAGCAGAAGTACAAAAACTCTGGAATACCTTGATAATGATATGTATATCATTTCATTTTAACTTTGTTAACTTTAGACAAAGAAAACCAATGCAGTAGTTATGCTGAGATATAAACTTAGCACTCATCAGGAGGCAAAAAATACTGTTTGAAGTCTCAGATTAACCAATAACTTGCTATAGATGTATCAATAAATTAAACCTTGTTTTCAGATCATCCATTTGTAGCAAAAGACTTTCAATTTAGAGAATAGTTATAAGCTAATAAAATTATCTATGAAGAGAATTATTTTTAAGCCAATCAGATTTTTCAACAATGCAATCACTCTTAAAAAGCAATTTACCATTCAGTGTCATATACAATGCAAACAAAATAAAATTTATAAAGTATTAATACTGAAAATATGAACATTGATTCTATAGGGCCGTGTCTCTAGTTCTCATTTCTGGATATGACCCAGAACTTTGTCCCAAAGAAGGGCACTCTAACAGTAATGAAAAATAAATTTGTACAAGAACCTGTCTTGAAGCGATAATATACTTTCTTTAAACACTCCCTGATTATCATATGGAAAAACTTGAAATAAAGTTTATTATAAATTACCTATTTCAATATAAATAAAGGTTGCTTGCATTTTTCTTGTAAAAAAAAAATGTTCATTCTAAATGGTATCAGCTAAGAATTGAAGGTTATTTTTCAGTCAAGAGGCTGACAAAATTCACCCCGTTCCCCTAGAAGTGGTCTCTCAAACAGGTTAGCGCTGACACTTGGGTTGCCATTGCAGAGAAAGTGACAATGTCCAAACTGCCCTCCTGAGGAACAGCTTGGTTGTCTATCTAACTCTAAAACTCAAAGGAGAAGAAAGCAAACTAGTGCAACAGGTATTTACTTGCTTGGTCAGTTCTTCACCCCATAACTTGTTCCAAAAAGAATTTCAAGCTGCTTAGATCAAGGTACATAAAACATAGCCAGAGAGCATACATTAGAAAGAAGAACAAAGGTTAAACAAAGACAGAGGCAGAAAACAGATGGAGAAATGAGGCGATCGCACAAACCAACATCAGAAGTCCTTGCTAAAAGTGCCCAACAAATTTGCTTCTAAGCTTTCTGCCAGCTCAGTGAAGAAAAAGAGCTACAATAGCAAAAAGCAGGTTTAATTTTTCAAGTGTATAAACCTCACATCATGGGGGAAGGAGGTGAAAGCATGGCCTTTAGGATACTAAATTTCACAATTTCATGTTCCTCCTCAGACCTGGTCTTACTTAAGTCTCACAACAAATCTGAGAGGTCGGTGGGATCGCCCCCAGGGACAGGAGAGAAGAACATGGCTGAGAGGGGGTAATGTGGCCTGCCCTGGCCACCCAGCCGGCAAGTTCCAGGAGCCTGGAACTCAAGCCTTCTGACCCACGTCCCAGGGTGAGACAGGGATGTGGAAAACCAAATGTTAGTATCTGCAAGCATGACCTGAAAAACAATGACTTCTTTTTTTAAAAATATATTTTTATTGACTTCAGAGAAAGAGAGAAACATCAATGATGAGAGAGAATCATTGATCGGCTGCCTCCTGCACGCCCCACACTGGGGATGGAGCCCGCAACCCAGGCATGTGCCCTGACAGGGAATCGAACTGTGACCTCCCGGTTCACTGGTTGACACTCAACCACTAAGCCACCGTGGCCAGGCGAACAATGAGTTCTTTAAGCCTAGGGTTCTAAACTGCAGTTCTATTTCCCAGAACAATAAAAAAATTTAAGTACATGGATCACAAAGGGTCACAGATATCCAGAGCTGCAGTGGGACTCACGGAGCATCTTCAATAAACACCCAGCTGTGAGGGAAGAAGGGCTGACATGTTTCTTTTTCAACCAGGTGCCACAGTTTCTGAATAATCTCAAAACTCTCTCTTCCTTCCCCACAGCTGTCCTAACTGGGTCTTAAGGAAAACCCAGAAGGAGGCCTGCGGTCTACCCACAGTGTACCCCACCTCCCAAATCAAAAAGAGGGGGGAAGCAAAGAAGTCTCTGGCTGAACCCCAGCCTCATCGTGAGAACTGGAGAACACACCCCTCACCATGTGCGAGCACAGCCTGAGCGCTTCACAGGGGTGCGTTCTACTTTCTAAAGGTGAAAATTGTCATAAAGGAGGCTCAGCTCCACATTGCTAAGGAAAAGGAAAGAAATATTGTAAAGTCATGTGAAATGGGAGAGGATTTTTTAAAAATTCCCCCAGAACCTCTTTAACGCATACACTCAACACACACACACACACACACACACGTGTTTCTGAAACACTACAGAGCAGTCTACTGGTACTTTCTTATTTAAAAAAAATATATGGATGCTATAACTGATGTTGACAGTGACTTTAGGAGACCAGAAAAAACCTGGAAACTCCATAGATCTGTCCTGATAGGAGAAGTTCAAGGCCCACAGGGATCCACTCATCACATACATTGTACCAGACACTGTATTAAGTGTTTAAGATACACAGATTCTTTTTTTAGAGAGAGACAAGAAGCGGGGAGAAAGGCGGGGAGGGAGGGAAGGAGGGGGAGAGAGAGCAAGAGAGAGAAGAAAAGAAACATCGACAGGTTGCCTCCCTCACACGCCCCAACCAGAAGTGAACCCACAACTGGGTATGTGCCCTGACAGAGAACCGAACCTGTCACCTTCTGGTATACAGGATAATGCTCCAACTGAGCCACATCAGCCAGGCAAGATATACTGATCTTGACAAAAGAGACATTTCGTGATCTCGTGGATTTTTACAATGAGTACAAAAAAGGGAAGCATTCTGCCCAGGCCTGGTCCCCAGGGAGAGGTGACAAAGAGGCACAGCAGCCAGGAATCAGGCGCTGGGGGCCTTTCACTTTTGCTGCAGATGAATATTCCAAAGTCAAACCGCACTAAAGTCACGTGGCTGTACAAAGCCATAAGGAATGACAAAATCCTGATTGCAGAATTTTACGAGGTGCCAGGTAAGTATTACCTGTGCATCCCCTGAGAATGACTGTTTTCAGACTAAAAATAAACAGTAGCTCTGTTTTACCCATTTGGTAACATCCGCTTAAGGGCATTTTTCTGCCTCTGTATAGCTTTTCTCTTCAAATAAGGAGACCACTCATACCAAAAGGTGTACACTTCCCCTATATTTATGATTATCAAATTTTTCTGAGTGATATTGTGTCACCATATGGCAGGTTTATTAGTTGTGATGTCATTAAGGTCAGTAAAATGTTTCACAATGAAACTCATACTGATGACATACTGCATTTCCTTAGAATAACAAACTTGTGGGGGGGAGGGAAACATAAAATAAACTGATGTCATTGCTGCTGCACCCATTTTCTTTAATACTCTGTAATAGTCACGGCTACTATGCTCTGTAATAGTCACGGCTACCATCCTTCTCCAAAATTTGGGAACCTCATAAAGACATGATATAAATACATTTACCTCAACCTATCTAAGCTTCTCTCTCCTTTCGCTGAAAACAAACCTGCCAGATAGTTGAAAGGCTGTTGTCCATCAAGGCTTATCTCCCTCATTGCCTTTGAGTTCAACACGCACGTTGCAAGATGGACGCCATGCCCTGCACCGAGCACCCAGTTCACAGAGAGAGGATACAGCTGCGGTGCTGGCGGGGCCCTCTCAGTGCTTATGGAGCTGGATTCAACCGTTTACACAAATTGCATCAGAAGAGTAAGGGAAAGTGCATAAGGTACTAGGAGAACATGCAGCAAGGGCCGAGCCAGAACCAAGGGCATCAGAAAGTCAGGGAACTTGGCAGAGGAGACGACTGCCAAGCAGAGCCTTGAAAAGGAAGCTAAGAGAAGTGAGAAAGCGCAGGCCAGCAGAGAGAGGAGGCTAAGAGGGGCTCCGAGATGGGAAGCAGCTTGAATGTGTCCCAAGAGAATGAAGCTAGGTCACTGGTGGCCAAAGTCGGGCCTCAAGATGAGAGAAAACAATTTTTAAGGTATTTCTGACAGCCCCATATTTAAATCAGCAAGGCTGCTAAGAAGCACTATAAAAAGTGGTCATTTTTTTTAAGTATGATTAATAATAAAAATAATAATCTAGCCTAAAATTAGTATTGAGAATTATAAAAGACCCAGGAGTGGAATTTTCTAATTAGGGTTTCTATAATAAGTTGCCGGGAAGGGCACAAGTGACCTACCTTGATTAGCAATTTCTCCCATGCCCATGGCCCTTTAACAATGTCATCACCCTTAACACACTGCTTGCTGTCAGATGGAATGACGTTCTATTGCACAAGCTTGGGCAGTCTCACACTTTTTCACAACGTTAAGTATCAAACCGCTCAGGCGAGAAACCTAAAGTAATTATATTTTTACACTTCAGCTACTTTCTATATCACCATAAGTATGTTCCATCTTAAATGTGTCTGTGTACACTAAATTGCTGCGATTCCCACAGAACAGTGATTCATGTGACCCATAGAGACACATGCGGGAGCATTAATGAAATTCTCCATAGTGAGGGAGACAACGGGCCAACAGCCTGGTCGGTCCCACCTGGAACATGAACCTGTGCTCAACTCCCCGTCGGAGGCACTCTGTCACCTTAAAATATGCTCAGAGCAGAGGGAGAAGAACAGTGACAGGATCCAAAAAGTGGTCCAGTCGCAGGGGCTCCACCTCAGTCCACCCTCCTCGCCCCTGGTCCACATAGCCAACCCCCGACATTCGTAGGTGGCACCTCCGAAATCTCTCGTGTCATCCCTTCCTCCCACTGACGCTGCCAACACAGTAGCTGCAGTCCTGGTAATCTGAGTCTC